GCAGCTGCTTTCCCCGCCCCCCCCCCCAACCGCTGATAGGAAAGACAACAAATAAGAGCACCTCTCAAATAAGCCTTTTCAAAGAGCCAAATATGGACTTCTTGGAACAAAATCAACATAGCGGAAAGACAAAAATCAGTCAGACTACCAGAGACCAATCAATGGAGCAAGGGGGAAAAAGAAAGAAAGAAAAAAGTTTGAAATAAACATAAGCAGCTAAGTAAGTTAAAGCTATCAATATTCATCTGAACATCAGCGCAACAGATTTCAGAAGCAAAAAAAAAAAGACTACAGGTAAAGCCCCTGCCATAGACCTGAAATTTTGCTCTTCATCACTTCATGACGTTCTAGGAAAACTCTGAACTCAGCAAACAAAGTACTTCCGCAGTTAAGCTTTAACTCATTAACTGTTAATGAAGCTCAATATCTCCTTTTTAAGGGGAGATCCTTAGACTTCATTTCAGCCTCCAGTAGTTAGAAGGAGCACATACCCATCTTGCTGCAAGGGCCAAAAAAGAAAACACAAAACTCACTGAAACGGACAAAGTGTGCAAGCTTCTAAGCCTGAAACAGAGCCCACATCTAACCGAACATAAAACGATGCAAGTAGAAAATAGAATCTTTTACAAAAAGCACATAATGAACTTTTCCACCAAGATGTCAACATTAGAGCACGAGCTGAGATCTGCAGACTCTTTACTCTGAATCCTACATTCAGGTTTTTTCAGCAATAACACCGCAGTGTCTTGCCACAAGTGATGTAGGCGCACCCCGTGGGGACCATGTCAAACAAGACATTCAAACGGTCGTCCCGGTGGCCCAACCAACCATGGCGCTCTACAAACCACCGCCGCCAAACTCATGTTTTCATTAAACCCTAGACCCTCACAGTCATTATTTTGGAGGCTTATTAATTCAACAATAAAATTCCTAGTGAAATATAACTGAAAATGGTACCCTTAATGGCAAAGGGAAAGCTACAGAAGCTGAAACACTGGGG